CTGCAGCTCTACAGATGAATGCTTTCTTTAATTCTGTTTTCTTTTTCTTTCTTTCTTTTTTCCTTCTTGCTTTTTTTCCCTCATTTTTCCCCCTCTTCCCACTACTTTTTTTTTCCCTATTATGTATAATAAATCTTTGCAAAGTTTTTGTCTTTCCTAAACATGGTAGGTGTAAGGAGACGGCTTATTTAAATAAGGTAGAGGAATACATGTAGGTTATAAAAATAGCAAAACATTCCCAAAATTTTAACAAGAATTTGTTCTTTTGATTCATTTCAATTTCTTTGGAAGCCTGAGGTCAAAATATACGTAACATTGTGCCTGGCATTTTCATTGATCTTTGTCTTCTATAAATGAACTGCTTCACAAATAACAAATAAAACAACAAAAGGAAGAAGAAATAAAACTGCCATGTAAAACTTTATCTTTCCTAAGTCTCCAGGGCATCTTTTGAAAATTATCTAATTTTGTCTGCTTGTGACCACCATAAAGTACGTTCCCATATATTGCAAATTTGGAAAAATGTTGCCAATAGTTTAAAAATACATAAACAAAGAGGTCATATATTTCAATCAGACATTTAGAGACTGCACATGTTGTCTGTGAAACCAATGCAATGATTCTGATTTTCACAGAAACGTGACCAAGCCTTAGGGTTGGCAGAAGCAGTGAGTTTGGATCTGAGCTCCGGGAAACACGGTTCTAGAAACGTGATCTGCAGAATATCAAGATTGCAGAATCGCAAGACTGAATACATTTTATTTGAAATACTTGTCTAATCACTTTCTAAAAGATAATCTGATGTGCTTATACGTATTACTTACAAAAGTCTGTTCTATCACAAAATTCACAGCTTGATAATCCCTAGGAGGCATAAATCCTGAAGATCACTTGATAGCCAAACTTGAGACATCCAGTGTACAAACTGCCTGTATCTGCAAAAAACACTCATCTGATTAAAACTGCCTAATTGAAAAGAAGGTTTCCTAGAACAAAGGAAACAAGTGGGAGGGTGTGCTTAATTAATTATTTTGGGGGACTAGTAAGATTTCTGTTCTCCTTGACTCCTCTTTCTGTACTTTTAAAAAATACTCTGACAGTAACAAGCAGTCTCAACATACTTGCCCAGAGGGGCTCTGATCCAGTTAAGACAAAACTTACATTGATACTAGTGAGCGTGACCCTGGATTATACATTTGTACTTGACTTGTCAGAATTCATCTCCGCTGCCCACTTGGCATATCACACCGTGCAACTTAGGTCCCCAATTCAGAAGTGAGAGTTACAAAAAATCTGTTTTAAATTAGTTTAGTTTAATTTGGGTATTTGTGGGATTCGGACAGCGCCAGCAAGACTACTCTGGTTATAGAATAAGAATATTAGCCATTGCAAATCAGGCTCTGGCAAATTTATTTCTCAAATATAAATAACCTTTCTGTTTTATGTATGAATATATAAGCGTTTTGACTTTTGTGTGGGAGTTGGAGGCTCTGTCCCTATAAAGATTTGTGCATACATTTAAGTCAAACCTCTAAGGAGTAGTGTCTGTTCCTCCCCTCTCCCCCTTGCAATTTTAATTAGATTCCTTGATTTCTGCATGTGCAAGGTATAAGGTTAAGCAGCTCAGGGACACTTTGAGGTATTCTAGGCTATCATTTGGGCAATAGTGTGGGAATCTTCTGCATATATCCACAGCAGCAAGAAAACAGCCAAACTGTTACCATAACAACAGTTTTGAGGGAGGGAGTTATAAAAGGGAACAGCAGGAAGAAGAATTTCTTTGAAAACATTTCAGTGTAATGTTAGGGCGTGAGGTGGGAAGGCACAGAAACACGCATTAGATAATCTAGTCTTTAAAATCTACTGTATGCTGTCTGTGATCACTGTGAGTTACTAAGGGAAAAAAAACAATAACTCCCTGCTGAGACTGAGGCTATGAGTATCCCTACTTGCAGTTTTGCGGCTTGTTGACTAGTCTCCATCAGATTTTGTGTTTTTTAGAAGAAAATGCCCCCTTTCCACATTTTAATATTGGCAAGCTACTCTTTGGTATGCTTCCTCCCCAGAGGAGGTTGCTCAGAGTTATGCTGTGGCCCCTTTTATTTTCTCCCACTCCATAACATTACTTCTTGTTAACCATTAATATACACGTTTCACTATTTGTTTTTTTTGTTTGTTTATTTTTTTCCTCCATCTACTACAATTTTATCTTTATAGATCCAGTGGTGCCTTGCAGCTGTAGAGTTCCCAACCTCCTCCCTCACTCTGTGACCTAACCTGTGCTTGCCCTAGTTTAGAGCATTACAATATCACACTGAATTTGGACTCTCCCTCATTCTTCAGAAATACCCATTACATCAAGTACCCTTTCCCCGTCACACACTCTGCTTTCACCTGTTATTATCTTTAAGCTTGTGGCACACATTGATAGCAGTTATTTTTAGCCATCCACCTACCTATTTTTAAACAACTCCTCTGCCTCACTCCCTACCTCAAAATATACCACGCTGACTTCAGTTCAGTTATGCTCAAGGTCATCCATCACCCCCATTCCCATCTTTTGGAACTACATATAGTCACTGTTATACTGGCTGTACTTGCTGATGGAGGGGGGAAAAGCAGGCACATGGAAATGTAGGCACTCTTTTACCCAGACTTGACTCTGACCCAGTGCTAGACAATGCACTGCCTGGTCCTGCACGGCATGGATGTGATGAGGTCAGAGCTGTGTGGCCGCAAACTCCTTTCTGTAATTAGATCTGGGCTGCATTTTCCCTTGGAAATGCTCTCTCTTTATCATCAAGACATTTCAAAGCTCACTTCTATTTTTTCTTTCTTGAAGCAGTGAGACAACTGATTTTTTCCTAGCAATTTTTTCCCCGTCACAAAAATGATAATGAAAAACAATTTAAACTTTGAATTTTTTTTTCAGCTATTCCATTACTGATCTTTCCATTGGCTCAGAGGAAACAGTGAGAGAGGGTTTGATTCTTTTCTGTGGAAAGAACATCAAAAACCCTGTTACGCTTTTTGTAGAAAAAGAACATTTTTTCTCTTATCCATTATTTTGCTAGCAATTTTGTATAGCATTTCTTTGAAAATACATGTGCCAGTTTAGTTTTAAATTTCTTTACTCCATTCTGCTACTGAAAAGGCTGCAGATGGAAGGGGGAACTGGGAACTCCCTGTGTCAATCAGCTCTATTCACTCAATGGCTGTATTTATTAGTTTCATTAAAAACATATTGAGCTGCCCTGGTTCCTCAGTTCCGCACGCCTACACAATCCCGACTGCCTCACCATCCCCCTGTCAGTTCGCACTCTACCCCGAGGCCTCTCTCAGCTTGAGATTCCACATGAAACATGAATCCAAGAGGATATCACATGTTTTTAGGTCTTGCTGGAAAGATTTCACACAGCTTGATAGGGCGTGTGTGTCTGTTAGTGGCCCACGAGATGAGAAAAAAGAAATCCTTTAGTTGGAGTGATATATATATATATATACACACACATACATACATGTATACACACACACAGGTATATATGTTCTAAGAAGAAACAGAAAGAAAAAGACTATGTGAAGCTTGGAATACATCTCCATTGTTAATGTCATTTGGACATGAGTGTATGTGTAGCACCTGACCAGAGTATTAGTCATAAACCAAAGTTTTGTAGGAAATACGGCACATTGGGCTGTCATCATAAGGGAACAGCCCTTAGAGGAGATTCTTAATTTGTTACATTATTAATGCTGAGGCATGGACTAGAAAACATGTCTCTCTCCATTTGCCTCCTCCTGTTCTTATCAAAATCGGAACCACATGGAAGAGCAGAACCAAAGGACAAAAGAATGGATGCTGACAGAAATATTACAGTTAGACTGTCTGTCCTTAAATGTTTTCGTTAGTTGTTTTTTTTTTTAATCAATTTTATGAAATATATAAATATAAAAAGGTGTGGCATAAATCTGTAAGATCTCTGCATAGAGGACCGAGAGCTGAGGTTGCAGTCTAAACTCTATTTAAGTTGCAAGCCTGGTCTAAAGAAAAGCTGAACTACTAAGCAAATACCAGGCTAAGAATAAGTTTTCAGAAAAGGATTTTTTTTTTTTTTTAAAATGTATTCTGCCCTGAAGAGTAACCCATACAAATCTATCTGCTCAAATACATTAGAACTGAATTTCTTCCTCTTTTTGGAGATGATCTCTCTGTCCAAAATCATCAGATTGAGAAACCGCTACCTAAACACACTAGTTTTCTTTCTCCTTCCCTATATATCTATAGGCTTTGAACTTTAATGTCTGAAACCTACAATGTTCCAAGAATGGAAGAGACTTGAGTACACTCTGATGTTCTTATACACTCCAAAGGATGTAGAGCATACAACCTCTTCCATAAGTATCTTCTTTTTTCCTAAGCACATCACAGCATATCAGCACTGGTCTCAGAATCTTTTATAGAAAAATTACAGCTTTTCCTCTCATGACAATACAGATTCAGCGATACAGCATACAAGATCTGCTTACTACCAAATAAGTATTTTCAGCAGTTATGCAGCCCTCTCAAAATATTTGATCCACACAGTCACCCTGACAAGGAGTTCATAGTACTATTTACCTGTTTTCAAATGAGAAAGCAAAGGTAGATCTGAATGTATATTTGTATATGAAATTGACACAAACATACCGGTAATTTTCTCCCAGATTCGTTAACTTTTCATCAGTTCAAGCCACTTCCATGCAAGTCCTTTCCTATATGGAAAAGCAGCCCTTTGAGGAGCAAGGGACGAATAGCCAAAACTCCTCTGACACAAAGGTTCGCTGCCAATAATTTCTGATTCATTAGGGAATTGTTCTCTCCTTTATATGTGCAAAATGTAATTCCCACTAACATCAAAGAAAAAACTGACCTCCTTGTCAAGCAGCAACTACATGGGGACTGTTTTGTTGTTGTTCAGGGGCTCAACAACATTTCTCACTTCATGGATATTTCACACACCTACCCAGTGTGGTGGTCCAGCTTCCTCCTGGAGTGTGCGCTGATCTTCTGCTGCCTGGTACCACCAGGCACACACAGCAACAGGTAAAGGAGGCCTGCCCAGCCTGGTGGTCACTGCAGCCACTGCTAGCATGGGCTCCATCTTGCAGCTTCTGTGCCACAGTGGACATTTGAGGCATCAAGCCAGAAAAGCCCAGCTGCCAGAGACTATGTTTGGAGAACAGCACAGCCACTTCTTCCCCTCCCAGATAAATTACTTTCGGGCAACACCTGATCACAGTAACAGCTCCCCAAGCACTTGTCCTGCTCTCCTCACAGACAGCTGCAGTCACTAAAAGAGCCCAACAGCACCTGCTGGGGGAATGATGCGTTATGGGAGCACTGGTGGTGTTCATATGAACAAATAAATGCTCTCAGCATCTTTTATGTCTGAAATCTTGTACTTTTCTCCACATGATCTCCCAAATAGTGCCCATGGCCTGACTGACTTCAGGCTCAAAGATAGCCCTCAGCCGTACCCAGGTGGTTTTAGGGTGCTCTGGTGGGGCCATACCAGGAATTTAACAATATGGTTAACTGGAATATGGCCTTGTTGTGTTTATAAGTAAAAACATGATATGGACGTGCCTAGGTGGATTTTTTTTATTGGTGCAGTGGCCTGAAGGGGCAGGTGCCCAGCATCAGAAATGCTGAGAGAAAAGCAGGCAAGGGGTTAACAGCAATCCCCACCACGAAGCATATTTCAAATGGCAGCACTTTTATAGTTGTTTGGTAACTGTCAGCAGAAAGCCTGGCCAGCACAGAAGGGGATGACAGAATTGCTGTGTGGGGAGAGGACAGCGGGGCTCCCGTGTGCAGCGCGAAGACCCACCTGACAGGGCGGAGCACATTTCCTCCCGCACTTCCTCTCAACATTAGAGCTGCTGCCATTTCACAGACGTTGCTCAGGGACAGACCCAACTGTCCTGCTCCTTCATAGCCCGACAGTGTGCCCCAAAAAGGCTCCTGAGCGGGGTGGCTCACCAGAGAACGGGCCGGCCGCTGTGGGGAGACCTGAGGGGAGAGGCGCCATTTTGAGGGGCCCCTCAGCGCCTCAGTGCTGTGGCGGCCTGAGATGTGCCCGCCTCAGCCATGCCCAGCCATCGCGGCACGCTGCTGTTCCCAGCGTTAGCTGGGGGTGAGGAGAAGCATTTTGCCTCCTCTGTCATGGGACGCAGGGCTGGTGTCACGCAGGAACACAAAAATCCCTCTCATTGCTTGTGGACAGGGAAGGAAATCGCCTGATTCTATGTGGAAATAAAGATCTGTAACTGAAACCTTCCATTCTCCGCCACAGCTCATGAACTGTATTTAGACTATTTCCCAGAGCATTAGGCAGTGTTCTGATTATGGATCTGTTCCATCCTTCCTCTTCTAAATTACCTTAGTTGTAGCAGCTCTTTCTGCACCATCAGCCAGCCACGGTATTTCTGAGTCACAGGAAAGGAGGTAGAAAGAAATGCATATTTTAGGAATTAAAATATTCACCTCAGAAGACCAAGGTTCTAATCACTGAATTTTAGGAACTTGTATTGTTATCCAAAAGGCTAAGAGGCTTTTGCTGAAGGGTACAAAAGTTCCTGTTTTCAAAGATCCTTCCTGAAAATCAAAAAATACTGTTTAAATGTTATCACTCAATCATACCTGTCTTTACTTATGGGATTAGTACTTTTCCTAGGTTTGCTAACACCAGTTAGACTGGACACTCAGGGCAAGGTTACGTTCTGAGTACCTCAAAAAATGAGAAATACTAGATAGGAGCTTCGAATCAGAACATATTTGCCTGTGTTGTGATGCTGGCTTCTGGTCAACACTAGGTATTATTTGGGGAATTCAAGTTGTATTTGAGGAATGCCTATCCCCTTCCACAGATTTGAGATGCTTTTGCTCTGTTTGTACCTCAGAAAAATTCCAGGGGAAATTCAACACTAAGATCACATAATTCTGGTGGCACACCTCACTTTCATTAACTCTCAATTTTTCTTTCATTATTTACTCTCTCCAGGAAAATGTGAGGTAAAAGGCAAAAACTAAACATACAAGCAAAAAGAAAATCTACACTTGTAATATAGGAAGCATTTTCTTTTTTATAGCTGCCCTCATGTTTTTCCTGAGATAGCTTGGAAAAGAAGACGCTCAAGAAAACTAATGAATCTGTTAGAATAAGCTGCCTGCCAGATAACTACATATTGCAGATTCCTGCCTAGAAAATGCTAAGCTTGCTCAGCCTCCTTCAGCCTGAGAATGGAGTAAGGACTCCTCGTCCCTGTGCTTGCTGCTCCTCTCTGCTTCAGTTGAGGTGCATCTGAAAGAGAGGAACTGTCTGCAAAGTCATGCAAAATTGTGCAAATTTTGCACAGATGTGTCCAACAAGATGCTGATTTGCAGTCTAACCCTGGAAGTAACTAATTCTTCTTTTCTTTCCTTAGAGAACTCCATTCCCCAACAGTGACAGTAGCCTAAGGTGTGTGATTGTCTGCTGCCTGAACAATTTCAGAGGGAAGTTTCTCTTTCATGGTATCTCTTTTTCCTGGCCTTTAACCTAGGGAAGTGTTTGACAGCTGTTCTTGCATCTTCTGAGAAGAAGTGCATGATAGTAAAGCACTGAATTTTCTGAAAGTTCCAAGAAAACAGATTGTTTGTATGGTCATCTGTAATTGATAATCCTCTCTCCAATTCAAGGTAGTTGAAAACATGCCAAAGAACCAGCACTGCTACTCCAAAGTTTTCTTCATAAAGGTTGTTCCAGATCTCTCTGTAAGTACCTCTCATATGTGGAAAGCAGAGGACTAATTTACATTAGAATTATCTTAGGCTAGACATATAGACAATTAACCATCAGAAAACTCAAGGTAGGTGACATGCAAAAAGCTTCCAGAGGTTTTCAAGGAAGAGAGGAAGTGAACCAACCAAACCTTGTCTTTATAAAAAATAAATAAATAAATAAATAAATAAATAAATTTAAACCAAAATTTTATTTCCAGGGGGAATTCTATATTGTATATAATTCCAGACATACCTTCATTGTACAAATCCATGTACAATAAAGACACTTTTAAGAAACTGTATGACAACTGACTGCCTCAGTCCCTCAAGCCTTGCGTGACATCAAGATACCCCTGCTGTAGTAAAGCTGCAAGAGCACTGTGAAGTTTTGACCATTTAGAACACCAGCCAAAAATTTCAGCCTAAGACAAGCTCTTTTCCAGTGCTCAAGAGCTGTTTGTAACATACACCCTAACACTACAAATTATGTCCATTGTCAAACATCCGGCATGACTTGAGTGACCAGAGCAGCTATGTGCATCACTGGAACTTTTGTCTTCCAACTTACCGTGTGTTTTTTCAGTAACGCCTGATGTAACTTCATCTCCTTTTGCATTCAACTCATCACCTGGAGTTAGTCACCTCTGGATGTCTCTCTCTCTTTCTTCATTAGCTACAGAGGGAGTATAAATGAGTAGGTTAGAATGGTAATCTGACTTTTAGATGCAGATATCAGGAGAGTAATCCTACCTTCTGTCTGCCATGAGTAGTCAGTCCTAGCAGGTCTTCCAACGGGGAAAGTCGAGCATGTTGCCCCAGAACTAAAAGCTAGCAAGTTTGTATCAGATGAGCCTTACATGATGCTCATACATGGTGCCATTTAGGTCACTGCTGTGTGTGATAACAAGATGGCAAAAACCTATATGGATACAGGCCTGGCTTGACAAAGTCAGTCGTTTCATTTTATGGCATGACACTGCAAAGTAATTGTGCTCAGAATGACTGTCTTTACTGCCTAAACACATTTTCAGTACTTGAGCATCCAGGTGGATTCAATTGTGCTTGCAATTTTGCAGACATTAAAGAGAGAGACTAAATGATTGAGGCAGGAGAAAGAGAACAATACTGCGCTCAGCTCCTGTGAGACTGCGTGATGCACAGACTAGAGCACCACACTAATGCTCAGGAGCCTCAAAGTCTAGTCCTGTTTTGACCACTGACTGACAAATGTTTTGAAAGCTAGGCATGGAAAATGCAATGCAAGTGCTCTCTGTATCTTTTACAAAAATAATACTGGCTAAAATCTTTAACCAATGCTAGCTTACGAAGAGCAAAAGTCACTGACTCCAACAGAAGCAATGTTACAAGCCAGATGGAAATCTGGTCAGCTTTTAAGAATACGAATTTCTTTCTTGAGCATCTTTTCCAAAAGCAACATGTGTTACAGCATGAATATAAGCAACACTTGAACTGTTACAAAATACATTTTAAAAATATTATTTAAATTCAAAAATGTGATTCTCTTAAGTTAAACCATAAGCTATCTATTTATACCAATATGTGTTTTTACATAACCATAGCCTTAACTGATATTCAAAAGCTTCTTCGCTGTTCACAGAGGTTTTCATAAAGAAATAATATACAAGGCACACTAAACACTGTCGGGCCAAACACATTCTACTGTTTATTACACATATTACATTCTTAAATAAAAATGCGTCACATAACATTTTTGCATAGATATCTTACAATATACCAATTTAAAAAAGAATTATGAAACAGACCAGTAACAAAAATAAATTTTTTCTTCATTAATAATTTTGTAACATTAACATACCACCATCATATAATACAAATAATATTTTTAAATCTTAAGACTTTTTGTACAGCAAAAAAACTGACAAAGTAATATATTTATATATATATATATAAAAAGCTTAAAAAAAATAAAATGTCAAAAAAAGGCAGAACTGAGGGCTACAAGATTGGGTACTTCTGTGATATACTAGAAATACCAGAGTAGGCCTGAGAGAACGTGACCGAGGGCATCTCCAAAATGCACTTGTCAGACACATCTGGTAAAAGAAAAATTATAGTGCAAAATGAAAGTCCTTCAAGCAATGTTGTTTGTGTGTGTGTTTTTTTTTGTGTTTTTTTTTTTTTTTTTTTTTTAATAGGGAGCATTCATCCTTTTGTTGTTGTTGTTGCTAAAAAAAATCCCCCAAACAAAAATCTAACATGAAGTAGAGAGCAAGAAAGGTTTTAAAGGATAAGAAAGAAAACAGGACGTTTTGCAAAGCAAGACAAAAAAAAAATAAATCTCAGCCTGCTTTATTATTTTTCCAATCAGATGAGCAGACACGCTAAACTAAGGCCTTGTTTCTAAGAGAAAAGCTGTCATAGTTTATATGCAGTGATTTCAAAACCATACACTTAAATTGGTGCAAGAACCTTTTGGTCGAGGTATCTTAATTGGTTGAACCATTTCTTACACTTTATCTTAACTGCATAGGATGCCAATGCAAACACAGTCCAGGCAAACAAATACTATGTGCATCCACAAAGTGATTTCAACTAGACTGGTATTTTAACATAGGGCAACTTCCCTGGTAGAGACATGGCCTTGGTAACACAGTAGTGTGTAAACCAGTGTTTTGATCTACTTCCAGAATCTGACAGGCCTGGGTTTTAAAATACAGAGGGATGGGAAAAAGGCATGTTGCAAAATATAAAGTAAAGATCAGCCCTTCAGCCATCAGGCCTTTCAGGGACTGCATGTTAGCTTTTTATTTCCCCGAGAGCCCAACAATAAAGGCTAAAATTGTCACCTTTCTGTCCATTCTAGTTCACTTTTAGTGTGTACATGCTAAGCCCTCATCCCCCTCCCTTCCCACCTCCCCTCCCAACCCCCAATTTGCAGCCTACTCATTCACAGTACACAGCAACAAGTATTTCCCAGACTGTTGAAAACTTTCCTACAGAAGCTGACATGATTCCTAAAATGCAGTGGCAACAGTAAGTGCCCTCCCTAAATCAAAGCAATAGGCACGGTTGGTTACTACACACTGTAAGTCAGTAGCTCAGTTTTGTCTTCTGTGTGAGTGTATATGGTATACGGTTGCACCTCCACGCTCACACAGAGAAACGGTGTAGAACCTGTTTTTCTGGCAGTATATAGAAGTTAGGACCAAAGCACTTAAAAAAATCATCAAAGCTTTCATTTTGAAAATTGTGAAGAGTTTCAACTTGAATTATCACACCAAAAATGCCATTAACAAGCATTAAGGAAAACTATAAAACCCTGTTTGAAAATGACACCTGCATTTGAAAGTTTTCAGGTAGGGAAACCTATTTTTGAGGTGATAAAGGCAGCCTACCCCCCTATCTCCACATTTTTATGTATATAATTTATATATACAACTACATCATTATATATATAACTTATATAGTACAAGTATGTCTTGGACTTATTCCTCTAAGGGAGGAGGAAAGTCTCAGCTTTTATGAGAGAGACCTTAGTACCTGGTGGGCCAGACCCTCCAGTTCTTGCTATGCTAAATCTTGCCACTGAAGCCAATGTAGAGCTGTGAGGAGAAAGACTGCAGTAATCATCCCTAAACTATTAATAAAAAAAGACACAAGTGTGACACAAGGAAGAAGAATATCCAAGCTTGATCTGGAAATGATCATTCAAGAAGGTGTAGGTTTAATGCTAATGAGTGACAGGCAAGACTTATCAATGAGTAGTTGTAGAATCTTGGGAAGAAATTATTTTCATTTTTTCAAGTCAAAGCCATAGAGTTAGTCTAGCATGGTCATTGTTCTTGATATGTGAGGAGCTTTGCAAGTGCAATTCTATCTGAAATCAGCAAAAAGTACTTCAAAAGAGTGTTGGGTTGAAATCATAACCCAGAAATATGAAAGCTTAAAAACAGCCTGGATGGAATGAAAGGATTTGCTAAGTCCCAATTAAAATCAAGAATAAAAGCCCTTGATCCACTGGGTGCTGGCCTGGTAACATTAAATAACGTCCAAAGTTTTCCTCTGTTTTTGTTTTTTAAATGTAAAGATTTTGACATACATTCCAGGAAGGTGAGAGAAAAGGAAACCCTTAAGCATGTTGGATTTTGATCAGTTCTATCAAAAGCACCAAATATGACTTGTTCTATACACAAATAAACAAAGCATGTTAAATAAGAAGAGCAACCTTTGTGTTAGGGGCAGCTAAAAAGCCCAAATTGTCTACAGCCAGGTAAAAATGAAGGAGAAAACCTGATTCTATAAATACTGAAAGATCACGGATAAGACACATTCAATCACTGCAACCGTCATATTGTTCAATTCCATTTTAGCCATACATCTTAGTGATTATCCTTTTTACTCCTGAAGGTAAAATAGTTCCAAAAGCAAAGGACTGGAGGATCTTCTTGCATTCAGGTTCTTCTTCCCCACCTGTGTTTAGTCAGTGTTTTCCAGGTATTAAGTGAAAATGTGCTATTTTAAAAAAGCAGTAAGCCCAATTCCAAAAAATCTGAATCAAATGAAAAACAAAACAAAAAAAAAACAAACAAAAAAACACCTCTGTAGAAATGTAGGTTGGCTAAGATTTCAGGTACCGGGAACCATTTTTGAGACACTGCATGGGTCTTCCAGGCTAGCAAACTTGTTTCTGTAATATTTGTTTGGTTCCTGCGACTGCGACACATCTCATGGTATGATATTCCTTCAAACTGCTTTGCTAAGCTTTTTTTTCTTCTTCAAGATTTTTTTCCTCTCTACATCTCGCTCATGAATAAACCTTATAACGTTTGATATGGATGAATCAGAGTTTGAGAGTAACCCTATGGACCCATTATACACTCTGGGAAGAACTAGAACCAGTACACATAGTTAACCAGACAGAGCTCTGATATGAATCACAGAAACAGGAAAAAATAATGTTGGAAGGTACCTGTGGAGGTCACCTAATGCAAGCCTCAGCTTAAAAAACAGTTCAGTTAGATCACTCTGCTCAGGGCCTTGTCCAACCCACTGAATAAATCCTGGATTTCAGTCCTGGAAATAAGCTTTCTTTTGTTCATTTGCCTAGACTATCCAGGTGAAATCATTTTCTAGACTGAGAACTGGCTATTGAAAGAGAGCAACTTTGAGATAATGAAAAACACTCTACTCTGGAATCTCCTTTCCTGTTAAGACTATTCTTTGTAAAATATACATGATGGTTTACGTTGCTCTTCTCCTAAGGGGGAAAAAATTGCAGAACAAAGATGCGCTGAAGTGTTGCTTTGTTCTAAAAAGTGACTAAAATGCAATATCATGTGTCTCCACGTTTGATGTAGTATGAGTGATACGTTATTTTAGTTTAAGGTAAAAAAGTGATGATTATGTTAGAAAAGCAGAATTTTGCTTGCCAAGCCTCAAGCTGGCAGTATAAAAAGCATATTTCCATAAGCATAATTTTATACATTCAGAAAATCTTACTAGAAAAATCTTGATACTGGTACTTTCTAAATGATTTTTCAACACTGTAACATATAAAGTACATCTTGATCTGGGATATTCTGTTCAGTTTTGGTCTTCCCCATACAAGAAAATTACTGACATACTGGAGCAAGTCTAGAAGAGAGCCACCAAGGAGATCAGATGGCTGGAGCACATGATGGACGAAGAGAGGCTAAGAGACACAGTTAATCCTTAGGAAGAGAAAGGTAAGGGTAGATCTTATTGCTGCCTACAAATACCTAAGAGAAGGTGTGGAGAAGATGAAGACTCTTTGCAGTGGTGCACAGTGGAATAGCCAACAAACACAAGTTGGAACATAGGAAATTCCTACTTGACACACAGATTTGTCTTTTTTTTTCTTTTTTTTTTTTCTTTTTTTTACCACAAATTTAGTCAAATATTGGACCAGCTTGCACAGAATGGCTGTGGAATTTCCATCCTTGGCAGTATTCAAAAATCAACTGGACATGGCCCTGAGCAACCGGCTCTAGTTGATGGTTGGCTGAGACAGCCTCTGGACAGTCCCTTTCTACCTGCATTATTCTATGATTGACTACGCTGCTCCAAAACATTATTTAGCTACTCACAAAAAAAAAAAAATGATATTTGATTTAATTGTTTCCTTTACGTATACTATTTTGTGGGACATTTGTCTCAGTTTGTTCTCATCCTACAGTTCCATGGCCTTGGAAACCACATCTTACTTTCTTCTGAAAAGCCAGAAAAATGTGGCTTCTGTTTTGCAAACAGACATAAATCTAGCATGAAGGAAACAATGTTAAGCTTCTCCTTTCTAAAGCTCAATAATTTTGTCCTCAACTGTTACCAAATCATCCATTTAGGGTTTTGCTTCCAAAGACGCCTTACAGAAAGGATTAGCCTTTCCTTATTAGCCTGTTTCTATTCATAATTTATAAATAGAAGATGTCTGTACAACTTTAGCAAGGAGACACAGGCCCAAAAATGATCTAGCTATACTGGATTGCTCAGGTTTGAAGTGCACAGCTTGAAATATCTGCAAAGAAACAAAACTTTTAATTGTAAAAAATGACTCCTGGAACGTGTCACTAATTAGGCCTTTCCAAAATGGAGACTCCATTTACAAAATACAAGCTATGGTTCAAAATTTTAGTAATGACTAAGACACTTGTATATGAGCACCCAGAAACCGAAGTGCAGAGATTGACAGAGTATACAACATATACAGGTGAAAAATACCTCCTGTTACAAGCAGAAGCGATGGTCCCAAAGCCCAGAATTTGGCTTCAGAGTTCAAGACCTGCAACAAAAAGAGCCTGAGAAATCTGAAATCTGGTTAAGGCTCTTATCCCCTTTTCCTCTATGTTTGGCTATACGAATCCAGGATTTAACTGTAGGCCTGTCTCTAGAACAAAATAATCACACATTTCAGTATGTTTCTTTCTGTGGGGCCCTTGTTCTGCCATATTTAAATAAGACGTCAACAAGACCACAAATGAAAACTGGAATAAAAGAAGCAGTCTTGCTTAATTTTTTTCCCTTTTAAATAGAGACTGGTACATACACTGTCATTTAATAATTATTCTTTGTAGACTACTGTTAGCATATCTAAAGGCAGGTGTGTCCAGAGGTCAAAGGAGGATATTTATGCAGGTTCACAGCCAATGAGTATTGTAGCAGTGAGTTTGAGAGCACATACATTAGGATGCTACACTAATGAAATTCTAGGATTTTCTTATCTTTTTTTTTTTTTTTTTGATCTAATGCACTGACTGGATGCTCTACAGTTTCACACAGCTGAGGTTTCAGTTCCCATTAGACATCTGGCAGGATGCTCTATATATTCCAACACAAATTGGATTCTAGGGCCCTCAGTCCCAGTGGAACAGCTGGATGGAATGGCCATAGAAGTATGCAAACACAGAAGTAGAGAAATACGAGATTGTCAGCAAGCAGTGCTCCGCAATTTTTGTATATATATATATATATAAAATATATATATATATATGTATATATAGTATGGTTAGTTTTAAATCTTTGGAATAAACTCAATTTTCTTTCTTTCTCTCTATCTTTCTTTTCTTTTCTTTCTTCACTCTCTCTCTTGCTCTCTCTCTCTCTCTTTCTTATCATGAATGTTACATCATTGCCCCTAAAAGATGGTTAGATTTTGGTCCATATTTCATGCCATATGGGCCAGACATCGTATTTCCCCCCTGTCCCCAAAGTGTTCAGTTGACAGTCACAGTGTTTTGTGAAAACTGTGAGGAAAAACAGCATCTTTTGAGTAAATTCAATCTCTCACTGGAACCAAAGGTTGCAAAATGCTGAGAATTCAAGTGCCAAGGATCCTGGTGACAGCTCTTAAACATCTATTGAGTTTCTTGTTTGTTCTTTTTTCCCCAAGAGTTCAGTTTTACCTCCCAAAACATAAATTAAGGGAAATATTTAACAGTCAATGAGTCAAAACAGTCAAAGAAGGGCAGTTGGCTAATACAGTATAAAAGAGCAGCAACCATTTGTGGACCATGCGCCATTTTGTTTCATTTCTAGACACATCTTGTAGGGATGGTCCCAGAATATACAAAATATACAACCTAATGACCACCTGCCTGCTTGCATAGGCCATTTTTATGGTCCTAAATGCAGTCTTTGGAGTCAGGGCCAGTGCCAAATAGTTTCAAATGCAAGTTATAGTAGGATACATTTTTCTTTGTTTGTTTTTCTTTTGTATTGTAGACTTTAATCCACTTTAAGCCCAACGAAATCAAATTATTAATAGGACTGAAGGGTGAGCATGAGACCTCCACTTCTCCTTGGTGGTTCACATAGCAGGTCAAAATGGACCTCTAGGTTAGTAATACTTTAGAGCAATCATTTGGAAAAGCCTCATTGTTGTATGTGAAATCCAACCCTTCCTTCACCATTCACACCATTATGTTTTTTCATATTGGAGTGGGCTACAGTATCAACTTGATGAGTGGAAAAGGAGGACTTTGATAATTTCTTTAAAAGGCTAATGCTGAATGAAGCCTTTGTACTTGGAAGAGGTTCTCTATTTCCCACTCAGAGACTAGAGCAGGATTTTTGGCTTGTGTTTTTTTTTGAGTGTAAGATGTTCAAAAAACATCAGGTTTAAATAAAAATGTCTGCAGGTGCTCTTTACACAAACAAAAGTCTAATGTTTTAAATTGGTTATTAGAAGAACAGCAAGAAAAAGCAACATAATTCATCTCTAAGTCACTGTGAGTTGTGGCTAACGTGCTCACATGATGTGGAAGGAATCCTGTAGTCATGCCTGTGTGGTGTGGCCAGTCCCAGACCGATATCCAGGTGAAGACAAGGAGTTCTGAAGATCACTTGTTCGTGGAGAAAAGAGAAAAGAAGGTTTAAGCTTCCAAATAAGCTTTTAAAGTTTTCATTCAACAAATAAACAAGAAGTCCTAGCTATGGCAATAAGGTGAGGCCTACAGAGATATTAGGTGCTGTTTCTCAGGGTTTATCCCTTGGCCACTTAGCCATCATGGCAGCAGCTTCCAGAGTCCCTAGTGCATATGTTGTGCAATAGCCAAAACAAAAATTAAAATAAAAACAACCAACAAAAATATAGTCCTCCGTGAAGTCTACATAAACTCAGGCCAAAGAGAGGATATTTGTGTCACAAGTGTCACTCCACAGTCTACTGCCATTAAGGCCACTGGTATTGACTTAAAAGGATCTCAATAGCTCAGTTCTAGGAAGAAGAACCAAAACCAAGACAGGTCAAAGTGTCTGTGAGAAGTCTGACGCACTGAACATTAGGAATCCTCAGACAAAGAACAAACGAACCAAGAGGTTAATTTTGGCTACCAAACTGGGATTTGGTTTTCTAGGTCATTGTTTTCCCCCCATCTATTTAAAAAGAAAGTTAGTGCTACAAATATGCAACTTCAAGACGACTTATTCTCCTATTGAGTTGCATTGAGAAGCAAGTTAAATAAGCCCCTCCTGTTGCCGTCCACCTGCAGAGAAGCCTCCTCCATTTTCTTTGACTTCCATTGGCAAAACCAGGAAATAAATCCAAGAGAGACAAAGTACTGTACGCAATTGTTCTTCTCATTGACTTCACCTCTATACCATTTCCTCGCCTGCATCTTCTCCCATCCAGCTGGGGCAAGGCATAAAGAACCGATGTATGTATTGAAGTATAACTGGGTGCATGACAGTGCGAGCGTGTGGTCTCTGTACAGAGGATTACACGTGATCAAGTTCTCTTCTCCTGCAAGGCAGCATGTTATTACTCGAGTTCCACTTTCATCTCACAACACTTAGCTCAGATGACTTCCATGCCAAGCTGACTGATATTTAGATGTGTCTCTTCATGTGGAGGGCAAGGTGATCAGACCTGGAAAAACACCTGCAAAATAAACCAAGTGGGAAATTAAATAAATATAGAATTTTGGAAAACGGGGTTCCTGCTCCTCCCTCTTTATGTATAGGAGGAAATGCTTATCCAGGTTCAGTGACATTCTTTAGATTATCGATGGATCAACACCAAACCCTGTGTGCTTCACCACTACAGAACCGATGGCCAACTATCCTGGCTTTCAGCAACTAAATAGACTATTCTCCCTTCTCTGTTCCTTTCCCTCATCCTCTTTCACTGAGTGAAACTTCAGGGAAGGGTGCTCATCCATGCACTTGTAGGATAAAATCAAATATTCAGTGTATGTGTGTGTATAAAAAAAATAAAACAAGTCAGTTTTACTCAAATACTTAGCAATGACAATTTAAAAATAAGAAAATAATAATTAAAAAAAAAAAAACACAGAAAAATATACCTTTTTCAAGTGCACAGTAACTGCAACAAACACCAACAGAAGATGCCAGTTTTGAAAGCTAAGTTCCCATTTTTAACTACAAATTGGAAGAAAAATGGTTCAATGCTTGGGGGCTGGAAATCCTTCAGGCTACATCTCTCATTTTCTCTCCATTGGGAATATCATTGGTAATATGTGGATGCTGATGAATGCTATCTCCCTAAATGATGTTGAGAGAAGACAAGGTATTATCCCTATCCTGTAAGTGTGAAAATTGAGACACAAAGAAAGCAAGGATATTGTAACACAAGAAGTATGGTAAAACCAAAAAAAAAGGCAAAAAAGACAGGACTTTCGCTTTCAATTTCTGTTCTTCGTCCACTAACCCATCTTTCCTCCATCTCATCACACAATATTACATTTTGACATTCTGAACATTTAGATGGATACTGATGAGACGGACTTAGAGCATCAACCCTAGAGAACTAGTTGAGTTTTAGGGCAGGTCTAAACATGCATTTAATTGAAGATAAGGTAGGGCATGAATTTGAAATGACACATCTACTCTTGATTAACTCCCTCTCCAAAGGCTTATGACTGCATTCTTTTGAAATTACTTAATCCACTTGGGAAGTGGGTTAAAATATTCAGAATAAAACACTCCCGAAGAGGAGCAGCCCTAAAAAGAGTTAATCAAGAATTATTATTCTAGAACAGCTGTCTTGTAGCAGACATGCTTCAGGGCATTCACTGCAGCAGGAACAGCAGCCCAAAATCTGTGACTTTACACCATTAGGATATTGTCAGTAACTAGGGGAATAAATTCTGAGGAGGACAAGTGCTTTTCTTCCCCGTCATTCAATACATAAACCCATTTTATCAAAACTGCCAGTAAGCAAGAATATTTATTCAACTTCATACCCAATAGAAATGGGATCAAAGGCACCAATCCATTTCACACAGTGTCATTAAAGATATGTATGGCACCAGAAAGTAAACTGCAGGACAAGCAGGCAGTGGTTCTGGCTGCCTACCCCAAAGCCCTGAAATGGAGCCCGGCTGTCAGAGAGGCAGCACTGAGGCACTCTCAAAATTCAAATTTCTACTATGGACTTTGAGTTGCGTACTCAGAAACAAGAGGTTTACAATATCCCTGCAAATCTTGGCTTGTCTCCTTTCCACCCTAAACCAAAAGGCACTGGCACAACTATTTTTAGTAAGAGGAAAAAACATCTATTATAAATATCACACAAAACCTCAAATTCGTGGCTTTTGAATAAACTGTTTTTGTAGGGTTTTCAAAACAGAAAATATGTATTCCAGAACTGACTTGCCTGCAATGTCTTTTCACTGCCCCACAGATCTAGAAAGAGCCACCAATGGTTAGAATATCCAAATGGCTTATCGTGAGAATCTGGACAGCTCATACATAGGCACTGAATCTATTTCTAAAAAAGCAATAGTTGAGGATTTTTTACTTTTCAGAAAGAACGTAAAAGAACAAATTCATCTATGTAGTCAAAAGGAAAAACACAAACAAACAAACAAACAAAGAAAAATAGAAGTGCCCTCAATCTAAAAGCAAGCACCCAGAGAATAAACACTCTAAGTAGAAAAAAAATAAAAAATTGAAGACCTATAGAAATGAAGAGATTTTAAAATAGTTAGGGAATCTTTTCTGTCCCACTGGCAGCATTCCCTTGTACAGGCAATCTATCTCTACCTATATCCAGAGATGACTCACCAAGAGGTAAATTTTTAAGACAAAGAGGCCTTGTATGAAGGCAACTTTCACATGAAAAAATAAACTCTCATCATCTAAGGATGAGCACAGCTCTTCTCCAATCAGCTGTTCTCTACCGATCCATAGCAGCTTACAAAGGGGTTAGCACCCTTCTAGAGTGGCAAAAATTCAAAAGAAAGACTTCAAAATAGGCTAGTGGCTGCATTCCTCCCAGCTCCTGCCTGAAATGCAGTGAGACATGAGGAGCTGACAATGGACACTTTGCTTTCAGCGCAGCAGGCTCAGCACAGCTAGAATTTTCTAGCCCAGGGGTGCCAAAATCCACCCTTGGACCAACATCTCTCCCGTCAGTCTCAACTGAGAAAGCAGCATGCTCTGGCTACAGGGGCTGCCAAAACAAAACAACAGCTTGAGTGGCTGCCAAAAAGACATGCACCAGCTGGCACTTCAGTCTAGGACTAGTCATAAGACCACCACCCAAGCACGGCTTTTCCTCTCTGATTGTCTCTATGATAAATGTATCCCAGGAAATGTATGCTGAGTCACAACACAGCAAGATCTGTTAAAAATACGAATCCCAAACGCTGTTTCACATCAATTACCATAGTATAAGTATCTAGTGTATTTTTCGGCCCTATAATATTTTTATAGCTAATAAAATGGCACCATTCTTAGCTAATTTATAGCTAATAAAACGGTACAACGCTAATTGTTCACGTCATCCTGCTGACTGATTTGGTTAGTTCTAGCTGTTGGTAAGGCTGGTGGATAGGGACGTTTATTTTCAGCAGTATAACAGTCCCTACAAAAAGATACAGCTAAAACACGCTGTCCAAAAAAAAAGGTATTGATCAGTGGGCATATTTTTTTCCATTCTGGAACAAGAGCTAGCAGTGGGGGAGGCTCCACAGGATACACTGACAAGATAAACTCCTTCCTCCACAAAATTAAGAAGCAGCAGCTTGCTGGTCCCTAGTCCTGTCTATGAGGCAAGACTTTGCCCCACATCCCTGGCTCTGTGCCTCTTCCAGTTCTAGAGCAACACTGCACATGGTATGTGGGCCATCACAGTCTTCCCCATCATCCCTCCCCTAATCCAGCTCTTCCTAGGAAGGACAGTTTATGCTAGATTAAGACACCCTAATTCTGAAAGTCATACGGTGATGCACAAAGCAAAAATTCCCAACTCCCAAACATGATTCTCTCCCTTCTCTTTTTGCTCTATCTCCTTAGCAACACAGTACTGCTCAGCACTGAAGCCTCCACAGGAGAAAGAGGGAAGGTAAGAGAATACATTGCTCAGCCATCTTTCTTACCAGCTGTGGAGTTCCCACTGTGGGATTTGTGCATTTCTGCCAAGCATGCTCTTAACTGGCTGTCAAGAGAGGACACCAAGCACATACACTTACACTGGAGTATATACCTCAATAGGCTGGCACTGAGCTGCTATCTCCTAAGCACGTATTTATGCAGAACAAGCAAGTGCCACTGCCCTGTCATCTTCTTCCCTTTGGAGTGCTGAGGGCTTGCACTGTGTGAGGAACATAACCTACCTGTGTTTCTGAAGAGCATAACTCCTGGGGAATGCTAATAAACAGCATACCCCTGGTGTCTGGAAGGCACGAGGGACTTGTACGCTGCTTTCTGCACCACTTTAGCTGATTCTCCTTTCTCCCCTGCTGCCACCAAACCACATACCATTTGTTGTACATATGGTGCTACTCAAACCAGTGGTAGCTTGCCAGCTATAACTAACAACGTGATCTGTGGGGTGAATGGCATTTGGGCTGGGATAGGGCTGGGGACAGCAGCAGAAGAGAATCAAGTCTTCTCATCTCTTATGTTTTAGAATTGTCATGTACACAGGGGGCATGAATACCCCTTTGATGCTGGCCAGGAGGTCAGAGACACAACTGCATCTGAAAACAGACTGGAAAGGAATTGCAGCCACACCATGTGCACAACACTCCCCTTCTTTACTATATTGATCCCTGCTTTCATGCTCTGATTGCCAAGGTATGGCCTTCCCTTCTGAACAACAAGAGCTGTTCCCTTCTGAACAAAACAGTATGTTTTGTGCGATGTTGATGTTGTGAAAAGTGGATCCAAAAGGCTCCTTAAATTTTAGCAAGCCCGGATGTCTGAGGGAGTGACCACAACTCTTGTCAGTAATGGTGAGTGCAGAAGAGGGCAGCAGTTCAGATATGGAGCAACTGTTCTCCAGCTGGGAGCCCTGGCTCAGGAAGGAGCGTCTTTAGCATTAAATTCTGCCTAAATGGCTAGGGACAGATTTATGCACATTTCAGTGCTTACTTGAAGTGACATCTCCAATAGATGCGGACAGATGAATGAATGAAAAAAGGAAAAATAGTGGTATGGCAAAGTGGGCCAAAAGAATAGGCACCGGCACACTACAAGCTTGCAACTGATTGGAAAAGTAAATCCAAACCTGACTCCTACCACCGCACGCAGATGGCTTGTGCATGGAGTGCACAAAACCCAGCAGTCTTATTAATACATTTTTTCTTTTATTTACAGATTCAGCTGAAGAGCAGAAGTATTAGGTGGTTGCAAAAATGTATCTCTTGACTGCAGTAACTGAGTTGGCTGCCAAATAAAATATATATATATATAGGCAAGGATAATATGTAGATGGAGAAGAATTATTACTTAAAAAAGGACTGAAAGAGGCTGAAGAGTTGAAAATACCTATTTTACTTGTTAAATCTCTGCTAAAAATACTGTCTGTCCTGACACAGAAACCCTGCAGTTTTGCACTGCTTGTGTTTGTGTGCTTGTGGGGCTGGGGGTGGTTACTCTGTTCTTCAGAGAAAAAGACAAAGGCAATGCCTTACATTCGAAACAGAGAACATAAATGTCCTCCTTCACAAATGTGCTTATACCAAAGCAGAACTCCAGAGGTCCCTACTTGGTTTATCCTGTCCCTCACTCTGAGCAAACAAAAGATAATCCAGGGATAAAACAAAAGATAATCCAAGAGGAAGCTCTCTGTGGCAGAGGGGGGGCAGGAAGAGGGGAGACAAGGGGAGAAGAGTGCTCAAGGAGATGAAGCTCTTGGAAAGGCAGGATGTGAAAATGATCGAATTTCCTTCCCATAAAAGGATGGGGTCCCTTGTTTATGTCCCACACATCCTCTCTCCACGCATGTTCTCTGCTGGTCTGGTGTACCCAGAGGCTTCCTCGAGCCTTTATTGTATTACAAAAATGTTTTCTTATCAGAGCAGAGAACCTTAGTGCTGCATTAAAAAGATGGGTAATTTTCTTAAGTCTCTTTTAAAATATATATATAAATAGGATTAGCCGGATAACATGTTCAGATGCAAGCACATTATTTGATTACTCAATACTGGATCCAGGTTTTACCCAGGGCACTGCCAGTCTCCAGCTGGGGGGGTTCGAGGGGGAGAAGTGCTCATTGTTTGATCCTGTCAGTGCTGTCAAGAGTCATTACAGGGGTAATTGCTTTTGCTCCACCCTAATTTCTTATCATTTGGGACTGGAGATGGGGAGGAGGTTTTTCTTTTGGTTTTGTTTCTGAATTCAAAGAACCCAGCTTTCAAAAGAACCAGCACCAAGCAAGGACAAACAGAATTTTCAGACGACCTCATCGTTCATTCAGCAGCTAAAACGGTGAGGACTGCAAAAAGGTCGGCAGTGAGCAGCAGCTCCCATTGCTCTCACTGGGAGCTGCTGGGTGCCCAGCTCCCCCAGCAAAAGATTTCTGAGTCCCTGAAGGATGGCTGCATGACAGGCTCTTCAGGAAGCCTGGCTCTAGGCACCTACCAGGCTTTTAAATCTGTGCCCACACAAAATGAAGGGGCAGAGTATTTCCCACATCAAACAGACACCAAAGCTGAGATTTAGAACTGGAGGAAAAGATTCACTCATTAGCAGGAATTCACAGCAATCACTGATCCTACTCAAAACAATCCCATGACTGTGAATTGTCAGACTTGCCTAAAATACTCCTGTGCTCTCGAAGCTGAAGCACTTTGCTGTCTTCTTTTGACTCTCAGTTTCACCCCGGGAAGCACTGAGCCCTCTACTCAGTGGAAAGAGAAGACAATGATGTAGTAACTTTGTACAGAAATTAAGTGCTCTTTTCCCAGACTATTCTGTAGATTTTGGGCACCCATGACACAACAGCCACACACAGACCCCATGTGCCCTCTCGTACACCCAGGTATTCGTGAGGCCCGTCAGCTTCTGCAGACCACCCTGAAGTGGTCTGGGGCCCTCTGGACATCCTCTCTGCTTACAGAGTATTAGAAAAAGCTGTCCTATGGACTGAATCCTGTGCCCACAACAGACACTGGCACGTTTCAGTCAGACCTTTAACCAGTCCCACCTCTTTCTTTGTGCGCTCCGTGGCTCAGGGACTCAGGCAGTGGGACACAAGGCCAAGAGAAGCCTCTGTGCTGAGGGCCAGGCCTCTGCTCTCAGGGAGCTGGCAGCTCCGTGCCGCCCACCATGGCCACATTTTGCTCAAACACCGCGTGAGGAGGCAGCATTACCTGTCACAATGGTTGCATTTAAAGGGCTTTGCACCCGTGTGCTTTCTGTAATGCCTCGTGAGCTCGTCGCTCCGTGCAAAACGCCACTCGCACCCTTCCCACGAGCACTTGTAAGGCTTCTCACCTGCAGAGGGGAGGAGAGAAGAGTCAGCACGGCAGCAGCATTACTGAGCACTCAACTTGCAAATCCTGTGACCGCCCCCCTCACCCCTTTCCCACTTGGGTAGTTTAACCCACATTGAGTCATTCACAGCCAGAGCACGATGGGCAGGCTAACCCAAACTGAGTCACACGATTCATGGCCAGAGCACGACGCAAACCACTTAGGGCTTATGAGGCATTGTACTGGGGATGGGTCCAGCTCCAACATTCCAGCTGTTAAAACATCCAGTTTCCCATTTCTAACAAAGCCCGTCAACTGCTCTTCAAACAAACCCTCAGGATGTCCCCAGACCTCGCCCTCTGTGCTGCTGGGGCCTGATTTCCAGTCAGCCTTTCAGCTCACTCTGTGCTCGCAGGCTGAATTACTGTGGTAGCTGTGAGAGGCTGTACCCATGCCAAAACCCCGCAGGTGGAAGCTGGTCATACCGCCACCTGGGCACCCCCAGGAGCAACCACCTCTGGACAGGGAGTGCAAGAAGAGAAACGTTTTCTTCTTTAAATGAGCTGCTCCTTCAGTCTTTTTGCACTACACCTGGATCAGCTGTTATTCCACCCCCAAAATACGAACCACACCACTGAAGCAATGAAGTGGTATGTCAGGAGAGTCTGGTCTTCTGTGTTCACTTTCACCTATCTTCTGACACAGACCAGCCTCTGTGGATCTATGGTGTAACATCCGTGAGTCCCTCATGCCTTCTGATGGAGACTTCCAAGACCTCATGCCTCCCCTCTCCTCATTCCGTGCCCATGTATTCATGCACACGCACATTTATCATCTCCCCCCAGATCAAATGCTCCAGTGCTTCTCCTCGAGCATAAACTCAAAGTCACGGCTGCCCACACTGTCAGCACAGTGTGGATGCATTAGAAGAGGAAGAAGTTGAGATAAAATGCTGACAAGAAATCACTTTTGCTAGTAAGCTACTAAGCCAGCAATTATAAACAGAGAAGGGACTTATTTATTTGTTCTTAAAATTGCTAAGAAGGCAATCTTTAAAAAAAAAAAGCCACTGACCAAACTGAAGTTGCAATACGTATGACCTCTCTACTTGGCCACAGCAGATAAATTTCTCGGCGCAGAGAGGCAGATTTCTATATTTAGCGTGTCTATTCAGCAGGTAAAGGACTGAGATCTGATTATGGGAGCCCTACGTATTTCAAAGTGACAAATTGGAGAGGCCAAAAGAGCAATAAAAGTGAAGAGGGCAGGATAATTGCATGAAAATACATTTTAAAAAGCTGTTTTGTGGTGAGTGAGTTTCTACAAACTTCTCATTGCACAGGCAGCTCTGCTGCACTCTGGTCCCCTGCCCCAGCAGGGTGAGGTGTTTGTGAACTGGAGTTGAGCCATTTTAACAGACTCTGAGAAGTTTGTTGGGCACAGTAACTCAATTAAAGGATTTATGGGAATGAAGCAATGGAGAGGGTGCAGCAGCAGACAAGACTTCACCAAAATACGGAATTGTGCCCTCAGTCCCCAAAACCAGAAAGGCCAGCCTGGATGTCTCTGCTGTGTGCCACAATCCACCACGGGGACGTGCCCAACAAGACAATGGGCTGAGCCAATAATAACCCTGTCCCACTTAGACTCAGCCTGTCTGGTCAGCTCTGCAGGCTTGCATATTTTTATTGAAAAAACAAAACAAAACAAAACTTTTTTCACAGAGGGAAAAAAAAGGGGGAAGAAAATTCTTGTTAGTGAGCCAAGTGCTGGTGTCTTGTTTCTGTGCTGGTTACTCAGCTGTAATTCAAACACTGCTACCAGCACTGTCGCAGACGCCAGAACTGCAGTTGCTTCAGCACTGTCCCCTCGACAGCCCGTGACATCCTACCTGGCACATTGCATTCGATCTCCCCTTGTCAGAGGAAAAGGATTTCCCCAGCCCTGGTCATGTCTCTGATGGTGCAGCGGTTCCGTGTGAGCAGTTCCTGCATTATTTTTAAAAGCTGTCAATAAATGGGCCTCGGTGATAATCCAGCTTCCTTGGTTCTCTGACGCTCTCTAGTGCCTACCTCAGAGTGGAGACAGCAAGGCAGACAAACCGCCTTGTAGTGCGTTTACTACACACACTGTAAAGAGAAGGCAAGGGACGAATGCCCAGCCAGATCTGGCAGGAACAGCCAGCCTGAACAATACAGCCGCCTACGGAGCAGAAGGGTGAAGGGAAAACATCATGGGCTTTCTATGAAACAAGGGCTATTAGGACTGAAGCTGTGTTTGGCTTGTTAACATTTGTCAAGAGCTTTGAAAATGTACAGTGCTATATATAGGTTACGAGAGACAGAAATGCCAAGCGTGATTACTGGTAAACCCACGGGATGCCACACATCTCCATTATTTGCTCCAGGGTCTCCTCTCTCAAGTGTTCCTGATTTGGCCTTGTGTTGCCCTGAGCTTTTTGTTTTCGGATGCTTTTCCTCTGTAAGCGAAGCCCCGCTCCACGACATGCCAGAAGTACCTCTTTGTGCTCCCAGGCAGCACGCTGCCGTGCAGAGCTCTGCGTGGCACAGCATAAAGGCGAAGGAGCACGGTGACCTTTAAAGCCATGTCAGACAGGCTCCTTGACCCAGAGACCTCAGAAAGGTTAGATCCCCTGCCCTCCCGCAGCCACTCAAAAACACGAGAGGGCACAAAGTGAGAGACCTCTGTGTCTCTGTACGTGAGGATGAAAAACAAACTGCTTCCTAATGGCTGCTCTCGTCTCACCCACAGATGAAATGAAAGCTCTCTTGCCAAGGTGTGTGTCAGGAGGAAGCGTGGGAATGGAAAAGGGGGAGAAGCCCCTCCTACCTCACTGCTGGCAACGGCAGGCAGAAGAAACGGGAAGGATCGTTTCCATGTGCCAGGCTGCTCTTCTGTTGTTGTAGAGGATTAGCGAGAATAAAAGGATAGATGGCGAAATCCTCCTCTGCTGAAGGCAATGGCAAAACTCCCACTCTCTTCTACTGGGCCAGGATCTCCCCCTTTCTAACAAATTAATTATGAGCTTCAAAATCCAATTAAAAATGGGAACATCACAGAGCTGTGCCATACTGACTTTTTCCAGGCTCTAATTCCTCACAATTAAAAACCACACTTAAACCTCGTGCCTGCGAGCCACTCCCTGGAAGGAGGCTCTCCTCTTTAAGTCACCTTTACCCAACACAAGGGACTGTGCAGTGCTTATACAAGTTCATAAACCCACATTTTTCCACGTGTACTCCACAGAGGAGCCAGAGCACATCTAAAAAGAAGCTGATGCCCAGATATGCAGCTGCTAAAGGCTGTGCTGCTGCAGCTCAGGACGTGCTCCACACCACGGGGACAGCTTAGCCTCCATGCACCCACGGGCACACCAAGCAAGGGCAGGCAGCCAGCGACGTGGGCACACTTCGAAGCATCAGATTATGCAGTTTTCTGAGACAAGCACGAGTGTTCCCACAACGTACCACTTGTTTACAGAAAAATCCTAGCAGTGCCCCAGAGCAGTGGCGAGGTGGAGAGCACCGTGTAGTGATTTCGAACCTGCTGACCGCACTGGTTTCTCGAGGCAGCATCACATTGGTGAGCAGTGCGGAGCCAAAAAAGCGAGCTGCAGAGGGAAACCGTGGTCAGGCTTCCCAGCACGCCTGCTGCATGTGCTTCAGGAGTGTTATTTCTGGCTGTGAATGGGGGCAACCTGGAGAGCGACCCCAAAAGTGGATTTCTGAACTACAGAAAACGCTCACATGGACACATCCTTAGTTGCATGCTGAGGGCGCCTGAGGAGCAGCCCGCAGATGCTGTGAGCGCACAGACCACTAGGCTGAAAGCTACTGATCAGTCCCTGGCCCATTTTTATCTTTTCATGTTCCCAGAGCATATATTCATATCCTGAGATGGGGCTGTTTGGGGAAGAAGCTCTCTGTTCCACTTCTATTCCTGGCATTTCACACAACTTAGCTCTCCTTCTAAATACTCCCCCAAAGTACACTTCAGTAACAGGCTGGCCCTCCATCCCTCTTCATTTCATCCACCCTTGTCTAGCCTTGTAACTGAAGGACAAAGAATTTTGCAAATTTATGGGCAACATGCAATGATGAAGCTAAAATCTACGAGAACCATAGCAACAATCCACAAAACTTTGGTACCCCTGAAATCAGGTCACTGTTCCTTTGGTGACTAAGATAAATGAAAGACTACACATTAAGCACCCAGTTATGAAAAATCAGCAGCGATTGGTACAGGTTTCTCTTAAAAGCTAAAGGTTTTTCATTTGAAAATATGAAAGAGTCAAGCACACAACCCCAGCAACACTGCAACACTGGTAAACACACCAGGTTCCCAGTTACTGTTGATAGACTGGGGCTGGTTTTACAATGAAGCCACTTCACCAGACTTCTGGACTTGTCGGGTCGTTTTGCAGCCTCAGACATACTTGGTGAGCTTCATCTCATGCAACTTCACGTACCAAAAAGCATAATCAGAAATAATCACCTACTGCTCCTTTTGATGTTAACGGAGAGACAACGGCGTGTGCGGAGTGGGACACATCAGGCCCCAGTTACACCAAAGCTGCAGGTGAATTTCTCTCCCTTGGTCGTACAGGGGAGCAGCTCCATCACAGGTTGCTGTGTATTTGCTCTCCAAGCACAAAATGGAAACCATCAGGTCTTCTCTCCCATACGCTTAGATTGCAAACCCTATACAAGCCTCAGCAATACAGATTCTCTCAAAAAATAGCACAAAACACCTTGCTACCTATACACCCCAGAACCATCTAGGTGCAGGGCATATTTCTTTGTACAAGGAGTAAGAAGAGTCAGCTCACTGCAGACATCTCGGAGTGGCAGTCCCAACAGAGACCAGTTAGTAAAAACATTATGGTTATGGGAGAGACAGGAACAATAACAGGATCATTGTCATGACCAGAAATCTGCTGCACAAAAGGAGGAAGCCAGGGATATTATACATCTTACATTTTACAGTATTTATTGCCAACC